CTGTAAGTGTGTGCATTGAGTGTGTGTAAGAGATGCATTGTGTTTCTGTGTGTATGTAAGAGAAGCAGTGTGTGTGTTTGCATGTGTATGTAACGGTTTGCATGGCGTGTTTCTGTGTATGTGTGCAAAGGAAGCATTGTCTTTGTGTGTAAGGGTTGCATTGTGTGTGTGTGTGTGTGTAATGGATGCATTATGTGTTTCTCTGTGTGTAAGGGAAGCATGTTGTGTTTCTGTGTGTGTAGGGATGCATTGTGTGTTTCTGTGTATGTATAAGGATGCATTGTGTGTTTGTGCGCGTAGTGTGAAAGAGCTCCCTGTCTTGTCCCCTGTCCTATAGGGCTCTCCTCTGCCCCTTAGTGGTCTCTCCTCTCCCCCCACCCTCCCCTAGTGGTCTCTTCTCACACCCACCCACCCTGTGCTTTTCTCATCCCCCCCACCCTCCGGTGTTCTTCTTATCCCCCCACCCTCTAGTATTCTTCTCACCCCCCCTCCACCCTCCGGTGTTCTTCTCACTCCCCCCCTCCCTGTGTTCTCCTCAACCCCCCACGCTCCCTGTGTTCTCCTCACTCCCCCCCGTGTTCTTCTCACTCCCCCCTCCCTGTGTTCTTCTTACCTCCCTCCTCCCTGTGTTCTCCTCATCTCCCCTTCTCCTCACCCCCCTCCCTGTGTTCTTCTTACTTCCCCCCCCCTCCTCCGTGTGTTCTTATTTGTTTGATTTGTACTGTGTATTGTCACTGTTTGAGCAGCAGTGAGAGGCTTTGCTGCATTTGTGGGTATTATTTTTTCTGATGTTTTTTTTGCTATATCTGGATTTTTTTATCCAGTTCCTCATACCTTGTTTTGCATGTACTTTTTAGAGATAAGAGGCTTTCTCCTGGCAATTCTTCCAAAGAAACCATACATGTTTAGGCTGTTTCTTATTGTACTGTCATGAACTAAAACATTTAATATGCCTTTAGAGTCTAAGATGCAATTTCTCTGTGCATCGCACTTTCTGATCTTGGGGTGAATTTGCTGGGTTGTCCACTCCTGGGAAGAATGGCAACTGTCTTGAATGTTTTCCACTTTTTAATGATCCTTTTCACTGTAGAATGTTTGTAAATGGCATTTTAATGGGAAGCAACAATTGCTTCTCTAAGATCATTGTTGATGTCTTTCCTCCATGGCATTGTGTAAACAAACACCTGTATGCGCAAGACCAGCAAATGGCTAAAACATTGGCTTTTATAGAGGTGGTCAATTAATCAAGGGCATTTAATTAGCAGCATTGGTCTGCTACTTAGCCTCTTAATTCCTATGAAAGCATTAAGGGTGTACTTCGTTTTTCACATGGCTTCTCCATTTTGGCTTTATTTTTGTTCGCATTTTTCCTATATTTTCTTTGTTTAATTCTATATATCATAAAATGTTTATTAAATGCATTTACATATGTTTTTCAGTAGAACTATGCAATTACATGTAGACATGTATTTTTTATTTCTCTCATATCCCTTAAAGGATGTGTGTTTTATAGGGATTTTGTACAATTTCTTTTTCATTTTTTCACCCCTCTATTTAATGGAAAGAATGTTTAAACCAGAGCTACACATAATATATGTCAGAGACTCCACTACTAGCAGTAGCATGGACTGTTGAACACATACATTTCGGCTTAGGGAGCCACAAAGAGAATATCCTGAAGCATCTCCGTGAATGGAATGCATGGTGGAACGTATGACGTTGTCGCATCTTGAACGCAATAACGTTAGTATGCCCAAAACAGATTTATTGGCAAAGAATTGGATTCATCTGGAGGAGAAAAGCACCAATAGAAAATGATCAGAAACAATTAGTGGGGTTTAAAAGCACACTGGAGCATTAGAGTTTTTGTATTTGCTTTTTCATGCCTGTGATACATGATTTGTCCCTGAGGAAGTCACTTAAAAAGACGAAACACATTAGATGACTTGTGGTGATTTATCTGATCATACTTGATTTTTTAACTAAGACGTTAGTGAAAAAAATATTTTCTGGAATATTTTATACATTTGTTTCCATCCATATTCTCCCTGTCTATGGTCATTTATAATTTTGGAGTGATTTTGTTCTATGAAAGATATATCTACATTGACAACATCCTGGAGGATATATGCAAGGCACATTCTTTCTAACGAAATGTGAGCGGTCAATTTGAAATATCATATTACATTTTTTTGATACAGTTATACACTATAACCTGTTTTTTTTTCTTCCCCTATTATGTATATCATGTTAGCTTAAATATGGATAGGAATGCACTACAACCATTGCAACACTCCTGCGACCTCCAAAAATGTTGGAATGAGGGCATCAGAGTCAAGTGGTTAATTGCGGACCTGTAGTGATACCATGCCTCTTTGGGACCCACATGAGTAGCTTGGAAAGGCACAGTGCAAGGGAGGCAAATAGGTGGATCCCAGGGGGCTGGGGCAGGGCCTGACCATCATGGTGGAGAGCTGTATTTCCTATGAGCTCCCACACAAACTTTGAGCAACAAACTTTTCACAGCTGGAAATGGGCCAGCATTGGCAACCCATCTGTCCCTCACAATTGAGGGAATAAAGAGTGGTGATCCACAACCCCCTGGGAGCTCACTTACCCCCAGTTGGAGCCATGCAGCCTGGTACGAATTGAGTGGGAGAGGCGGGCGAGGTGTTTGGAAGCAATCGTAGAAACATAGAATGTGGCGGCAGATAAGAACCATTCGACCCATCTAGTCTGCCCAATTTTCTAAAAACTTTCATTAGTCCCTGGCCTTATCTTAAAGCAAGGATAGCCTTATGCCAATCGCCAGCGGTCAAGAGCCCCGTTATCCCCTTCCCCCCCAGGACCGGTGGGAGTAATAACGGTCCACCCATGGGAGGCTATCCCGCTACTGCTGGAATGTGAGGGGATGCACAGACAGCAGAGAGAACAAGCAGTGGCCTATCCAAGATGGTGGACAACGTGTGTCTCGGCGGTACCTGTATAGGTCAGCCTGATGTACTGACCAGGCTGGATGAAATATTTGCTGCATTCTGTCAAAAATTGGAAGAAAGGCTAGAGCATGGACTGCACCAACAAGCCCCTTAACCGTCAGGAGTACCCTCACTCCAACGACGATCACCCCAAGACACCTCTTTGCTTTACATGACATGCGCACCGTCGTATCACGGCATGTTTATACCCATTACCCAAACCCCAATAAACTACAGACACCAATTTATACTGCTGTAATTATTTGTCCACAGCTTTATTAAATAAATATATCATACATTCTAACAATTAGGGTCATTGCCAACAACCATCACGGCATATTACACTGAACAAAATTATAAACGCAACACTTTTGTTTTTGCCCCCATTTTTTCTGAGCTGAACTCAATGATCTTTTTCTATGTACACAAAAGGCCTATTTTTCTCAAATATTGTTCACAAATCTGTCTAAATCTGTGTTAGTGAGCACTTCTCCTTTTGCCGAGATAATTCATCCACCTCAAAGGTGTGGCATATCAAGATGCTGATTAGACAGCATGATTATTGCACAGGTGTGCCTTAGGCTGGCCAGAAAAAGTGTTTGGAGCCACGAAAGAGCTCAAACCTACCAGCCACGTAAACTCCTCCACCAGGTTCGTAAACTCCTGCCTAAATCACCTTAAACCCATCCATGCCCCCCTTCCTACTCCAGGTAGCTCCCAATTTACCTTGCCATTACCCGCCATAGCTCAGGACTTTACCCCCTAAAGCTCCTGAGTGCTCCACCACACAAGAACAGGGCCCTGGCAATACCCTCCTGAAATCCCAGGTTAAGAAGGTCATACCCCACATCTGATAGATGGACCCTATCCCCCCAAAG